TTTGATTTCATCACTTAGAGTTTTCAGAATATACATTTTTTGCCTCCTTAGTTAAATTTATTCCTAAGTGTGTTATTGTTTTTGATGTTATTATCAATGGGTTACTTTTTAAAATTTCCTTTTCAGATTGTTTATTGTTAGTTCAAAGAAATGCTACTGATTTTGATTCTGTATCCTGCAAATTTGCTGAATTGGTAGGAGACCAGGAAAAGCTAGTGGTGCAATTCAGTCCAATTCTGAAAGTCTGAGAACCAGGGGAGCCATGTGTAAATCCTAGTCCTAGAAGACTGATGTTTCAGCTCATGCAGGCAGACAGAAGCAAAATAAGATGAACTGCTATCTTCTCTCCTTTTTTTCTATTCAAGCCATCAGCAGATTGTTTGAGTCCAACTGACATTGGGGTGGGCAATCTATCTTACTGAGCACATAGACATGATGCTAATCTTATCTCAAAACACCCTTATGGACATCAGAAGTAACATTTTAATTTGGTACTTCTTGGATCTAGATAGACATATAGAATTAAGCATTACAACATCAGAACATATAAAATAAAGATTAAAACTAGAAAATGGTTTTAAGGACATTTAAAGACAATTATGTCTCTTGGTAAAGAATGAGTGATGGGAATTCATGGGTTAGGATGTTTTCCCCATGCAGTGATGTTGGTGTTTTGGCCCATGTTTTGGTTTCTGTGTTGTCAAATGACTGTTTTTTGAGTCTCGTATTTTCTCCTTAGGTACAGTTTTAAAGGTTATAAAGAATGCTTATGCTGTTTAATATGGAAATTCCAAATTCTGTAACTCCTTTTATTCATGCAGAATTTCATTGTCCAGCAGCTGAATGAATCATTTTCTTATTTTGTGGGGCTCTCTGATCCACAAGGTGATGGTAGTTGGCAATGGATTGATCATACACCTTTCAAAAAAAATGTCAGGTGAGTGCAGACCTGGATTAATAAATGTTAGTGCCTTATTTACATAAAAATTTAGAGAAATTTTGTTAGCATGACTACTAATAGTAATGGTTACAATAATGCTAACAGAATCTAACAATTGTTAAACGCTTACAGAGTCCATGTATCATCTTACTTAATTTCATAAAAATTTCTCTTTTTTAGAATTCATTTTATGAATGAAAAATTATCCAGGATAATTAACTACTAAAATGAGAAACTGAGTTTTAACCCCATGTCTATCTGACTCCAAAAATAGATGGCTCTCTCTGGCAGTATACCTTTTCTGTCTCTAAACAAAAGTAGACATTTAAATTAATTTAAAATAAAAATTTAAAATATCTGGCTCAGAACTATGCACAAATATAGTAGAGTAATTACATGATAATACTATTTTTGTTGTTTTAAAAATAATTTAGTATGTATTATCTTTGTTTGTTCTCATATGATCTTATGAGTTATTTAGGGACCTTTACTATGATATCCATTTTTATAGATGAGGAATCTAACACCTGAAGAGGTTAAATTATTTGACCATAATTAATTAGTAGTAAAACCATCTTTTTATCCAATTCATTTTTTTTTGTTTTGAGGGTAGTACTGGGGCTTGAACTCAGGGCTTCACACTTGCAAAGCAGGCACTCTACCTCTTGAGCCACTCCTCCAAGTCCTAAAACCATCTTTTAATTTCAAAAACAATACACAATTTTCCATTCCCCCATACTGTATTCCTTGGAAGCAAGTCACACTCAAATTCAGGCATACAGACATTCACTCAAGGATGCTTTATGAGAGCAGAAGAACTTAGGGCTGTGAGAGGAAAGCATGCTGTAGGAGGCAGACTCTGTTACATGCCAGAAACAAGTGAAGTTTTCACTAACTCATGTCAGGATGATGGGTCTGTAAAGAGGAGGAAGATCAGATTGCAGGAGAAATGGACATGACTACACAGTGTCAGAAGAAATTTCCAGGAGAATGTGAGAGAACCACATGTAAAAGTGTGTGTCCTTCATTAAATCAAGGGCAAACACAACAAAGGGATTGGACTTTGAGCACATGATAAAAGTGAGAGCACACAAGGGAGGTGTGAGGATAGGTAAGTCACCTAAAAAAATTAGCTAGCATTTGTTGCCCTCAACGCAGAGAAACTAAAGTAGATACCTTAAACGCAACTGAGGCCAATAGGAAAAGGGGACCAGGAACTAGAGAAAAGGTTAGATAAAAAAAAATTAACCTAGAAGGTAACACACACGCACAGGAAATTAATGTGAGTCAACTCCCTGTATAGCTATCCTTATCTCAACCAACAAAAACCCTTGTTCCTTCCTATTATTGCTTATACTCTCTCTACAACAAAATTAGAGATAAGGGCAAAATACTTTCTGCTGGATATCGAGGGGGTGGGGGGAGAGGGAGGGGGCGGAGTGAGTGGTAAGGGAGGGGGTGGGGGCAGGGAGGAGAAATGACCCAAGCGTTGTATGCACATATGAATAATAAAACAATAAAAAAAGTGTGTGTCCTTAGTCAAGGTTCTCTCCCCTTCTTTTTTGGTACTGGGATTTGAACTCAGGGCTTTGCACTTGTTAGGTAGGTGCTGTACCACTTGAGTTATGCTACCAGCCCTTTTTGCTCTATTTACTTTGGAGTTAGGTCTCATTTTTTGCCCTGGCTGGGTTGGACCACAATCTTATTTTATACTTCCCATTGTAGCTGGGATGACAGGTGCTTGCCACTGTGCTCAGCATTTTTTTTCTTGCATACTTTTTTGCTTGAGCTGGCCTCAATCTGTGATCCTCCCAATCCCAGCCTCCCAAGTAGCTAGCACTACAGACATGAGCCACCAGTGCCTGCCTCATATGAATTTCTTGAGGAGGGAAGTAAATAAAGGGGAGCAATCATGGAAATGTCCTCTCACCTCCCACTCTGTTCAACTTTCTAATCAGTCACTATGCATTTGTTGAGGAATTGTTTCTACCTTTTGTTTCTCTTTAGATTCTGGCACCCAAATGAACCCAATTTCTCTGAAGAGCGATGTGCTTCAATAGTTTTCTGGAATCCTGGAAGATGGGGCTGGAATGATGTTTTTTGTGATACGAATCGGAATTCAATATGTGAGATGAAGAAGATTTACCTATGAGTGGAACTTTAGTCATTGGCATCCTTAAAATTCAAACCTATCATAAAATGATAATTTCTTGTAACATACATGAGATTCTTGCTTGTAATTTATGGAAATACTCACATGTCTTTTCTCCTTAAATCATTCCTTAAATTAGTTTCTCCTTTTTAACTAATTTTAAAATGAGTCCTTCCTTCCTCTCTCTGGACTTTCCTTTTTATTCATTTTTTTTCCTTCTTTTTTCATACTTCCTTCTACAAATGTTCCTTCTTCCAGAGCACGTACTAATTTTTCTATTAGAAGATTTCTAAGTCAGTATTGTTTAAAATGATGACCTTCCTGTCTCAGGATGCCATGGAGAAATCTCTTTGGTGAAGTTGTGATTAGAATTTTGATGATCTGAGTCCTGAAAAAAGCTGAGGGGGTCTACTTTGTAGGTGGTTCATTCATATTGCTGGCAACATGGGATTGGTATTGCTAGGAAGCCTCAGCTCCTCCCTACATGGAAATCTCGGTTAGGCTGCTTGCTTGTCCTCCAATATGGTAGCCACCTCCCACTACAGCAAGTAAGCCAATGGAACATTTGCTTGTGATATAGTCTCAGGAGTCATATACCCATTAAAAACCCAAAAGGTTCAGAGGGTTTCCAGACAGCTAAATACATGAAGGCTCCTAGAGTATACCTGTACCTCATCTATGAATATCTTCATCTGTATCTTCTGTAGTATTTTTTTATAACAAACTGATAAGTGTTAAATGTTTCCCAGAGTTCTGAGACCTGCCGAAACAAATTAATTGAACCCAAGGAGGAAGTTGTAGAAACCTTGACTTAAAGCCAAAGTTATGTTTGATGTTCTTTTAAAAAATGAATTGATATTCCTGGTCCACTACTATGCAGATTTTTTCTATTTCATCAATGGCTGCTTTTGTTATTAATTCTTCCTTTGTATTTATTTGTATCTTTTTAAAGCTTTTCAAAATAAATCACTATAAAATAACCCTTAAGTTTTTCAGTCTTTTTTTTAATAAAAGTCATACCTTTACTTTGGATATCATTTTGACTAAACCTAACGGTTTATAAAATTTGATGATCTAATTCTTTTTACTTTTACATAGTGGCAATTACAATAATGATTTTCTTCTTAGTCTAGAAGTTATTTAGTATATCATTTAAACTTTTTGTGGAAATAGGTAATTTTTGGCTTTTATTTTGAAATCTTTGTGTGAAATACCAAAAAAATGATTTGAACATATTTAAAGAAATACTTAATATTTTTGAAGGTTTTAAATGCTTTTCTTTCCCTCGTTCTTTTGGGCAAATAAAGGAAAATATTTCAATGTCGTGGAAATAGAGATATGAGGTTCCTGGGTGCCTCATTCTGGAGTTGGACATATGATATTTCTAGAAGATGATTTCTAAGTTAAAGTGAGGACTTTTCAGTTCCACATAGGACCATAGAAATAAAACCAGAAATGGAAGATTAGGAATTGATGTAGATTCCAAGAATCATGTTCCACAAAGTAAAAGAAATGTGAAGCTAGATAGTTTTAGTACTGAAATAGAGATTAGAATGTGATAATTGGTTGGGGAATGATGAAATTAGAAAAGTAAGTCAGACTTATGTACAATGGGGAGGATAAGAAAAACATAATTTCAGTGGGTGGAAAATTAGAGAATACAGGAAAGATTGGGGAAAGATAAGTAGGATGCTACTGAAGAAGAAAGATGGCAGGAAGAGGGCAAGTTAGGCTGCTCAATGTTGTTTAAGTTTGTATTTGACCGCTTGTTCAGAGAGTGTCTCTAGAATTCTTCTAGCTCAAAAAGTTCCCATTTTTGCTAATCTTCGGTTTTTAGCCATCCCTTTCTACACTTAGGAGCCCTGAGTCTCCCAAACCTTTTGACCAAAGAGATTATGAGCTTTGTAGTCTTAAAGAGCTGACAGAAGCAGAAGTTGGTGATCACAGAAGCCTCAGAGCATGTCTCCATGGTTTCGTTCACTCTTCAGTGGCTGTTTCACTGGAGTTGATCATATAAATTGTCACTTGAAATGGACCTACCTCTATTACCTCCCACTTTAAAAAACTAAATGTCTCTCAAAAATGTTATTCGTTCCTCTTTCTATGCCAATCTCTATTGTAATTTTTTTACCTTTTTATCAAGTAGAATTCAAATATGGATTGGACATATTTTCTTCCTTGAATTAAAAATTACTAAATTATACACCTTAGCTAATTGACTATCTTTTTTAGTTTTCTTTTCCTGGTTATAACTGTTTTCTCCCAATTTCAGTTCTGAACTCATCTATGCATGTGTTGCAGTAGAACTTACCTCTTGTACTAGCTCCCAATTCTAGGCTTACCATTGCTAAAAAGGATAAAAAAGTTATATTCAAGGTCCTATGATTTGGATATGTTCTGAGTGTCCCACAAGGGTTCATGTATTAAAAGGCTGATTCCTAGGTTGGCACTATTGGGAGGTGGTAGAACCTTTAGGAGATGGTGGAGTCTAGTGTGAAGTCCTTGGGTCATCGAGAGAATGTTATCAAAAGAGATGAAGGTAGTTCCTGTGTGGCTCCTTGCTCATTCCTTCAAGAGGGTTGCTATACCTAAACTGAAGAGAACACCCACAGAGTGGGAGAAAATATTTGCCAGCTACACATCAGACAAAGGACTGATAACCAGAATATATAGGGAACTTAAAAAGCTAAATTCTCCCAAAACTAATGAACCAATAAAGAAATGGGCAAGTGAACTAAACAGAACTTTCTCAAAAGAAGAAATTCAAATGGCCAAAAAACACATGAAAAAATGCTCACCATCTCTAGCAATAAAGGAAATGCAAATTAAAACCACACTAAGATTCCACCTCACCCCTGTTAGAATAGCCATCATTAACAACACCAACAACAACAGGTGTTGGCGAGAATTCGGGGAAAAAGGAACCCTCTTACACTGTTGGTGGGAATGTAGACTAGTGCAACCACTCTCTGGAAAAAAATTTGGAGGCTACTTAAAAAGCTAACCATTGATCTACCATTTGATCCAGCAATACCACTCTTGGGGATATACCCAAAAGACTGTGACACAGGTTACTCCAGAGGCACCTGCACACCCATGTTTATTGCAGCACTATTCACAATAGCCAAGTTATGGAAACAGCCAAGATGCCCCAGCACTGATGAATGGATTAAGAAAATGTGGTATCTATACACAATGGAATTTTATGCAGCCATGAAGAAGAACAAAACGTTATCATTCGCTGGTAAATGTATGGAATTGGAGAACATCATTCTGAGTGAGGTTAGCCTGGCCCAAAAGACCAAAAATCGTATGTTCTCCCTCATATGTGGACATTAGATCAAGGGCAAACACAACAATGGGATTGGACTTTGAGCAAATGATAAAAGCGAGAGTACACAAGGGAGGGGTGAGGATAGGTAAGACACCTAAAAAACTAGCTTGCATTTGTTGCCCTTAATGCAGAGAAACTAAAGCAGATACCTTAAAAGCAACTGAGGCCAATAGGAAAAGGGGACCAGGAACTAGAGAAAAGGGTAGATCAAAAAGAATTAACCTAGAAGGTAACACACATGCACAGGAAATTACTGTGAGTCAACTCCCTGTATAGCCATCCTTATCTCAACCAGCAAAAACCCTTGTTCCTTCCTATTATTGTTTATACTCTCTCTACAACAAAATTAGAAATAAGGGCAAAATAGTTTCTGCTGGGTATTGAGGGGGGGGGAGAGGGAGGGGGCAGAGTGGGTGGTAAGGGAGGGGGTGGGGGTAGGTGGGAGAAATGACCCAAGCATTGTATGCACATATGAATAGTAAAATAATAAAAAAAAGAGGGTTGCTATAAAAGCTGGAGCCTGGCCTCACACAGCTCTTTGTTTCTTCATTGGAGATGTGACTGCTTTCTCTTCCGTATCTCCTGCCATGAGGTGATAGCATCACCTCAGTATCAACCAATGGACCTGGCTGATCTTGGATTCTAAACCTCCAAAACTATGAGCTAAATAAACCTGTTTTCTTCACCTAGTAGCCTGCCTCAGGTATTTCATTATGGTAATGAAAAGTTTACTGTTGGAGAAAATAATTCCATTTGGAAACATGACTCACACTCAGTTTCTCTTACTATACTCGCAATATAGATTACTCTGACACCAGATGTGTGGGAGATTTTCCCCACATACCCAGTGGGCAATCAGTTCTGTAGCAGAGGACATAAGCTGGTTGTCCTCTAATTTGATTTGATTCTGCCACTTTCTCCAGGGATAGTGACAGATCATACAGGGTGAGGAGTCAGTCTTTAAGAGCTCCTCCCCACTTCAGATGCCAATCACAAGCCCTATTTTTTTTGTCTTTTTTGTCTGTGGTTCTGATGGACTGATAGCAAATTTTTCTTTCAATTCCTGTCTGGGTGCACCTCCTTTGATGAGCATCTTTGGGATCAGCTATCAGAAAGCTCCCTGAACCCTGCCCTTGTGGGTGTTTATGGGCACCTTTTCACATATTCATGATTGATTAAATCTTTGGCCATAGATGATCAACTTAATCTTTATCACCTTTGCCTACCTCGAAGTTGGGGGTGGGGTGGGGTTTCCAGTCATTAATTCAACTTACTAGCACAGACACCATCACTTCAGAGATTATAAGGATTTTAGGATTTATATGCTAAGAAACTGGAGCAGAAACTGAATATATGGGCTATAATATCTCATGGGAGAATTAGCATATCCTATATTATAATTCTTATACTGGTGTTTTAGTCTTAACATGAGTTTTTCTATTAAAAGGAAAATATCTTAAAAGGATTATTAAATCAAGGATCATCCCAAACTATATTATCCCAGCTCGCTGTATCAATGAATAAATATCTAAGATTTTGCTATCATGAGAGACATTAAGGATTTCTCATTCTTATATTATTACTTCTGATTAACATATACTTTTAATGCAATGATAAAAAACCATATGTTAAGAGTCTGTGGGAGAGCAACATAAGTTGCTTCTTA